TGCTATCTTACAATCAATATAGTAAATGTGACTATTTGTACTAAGGTGTCGAGCAAAGCACATTATACCACCATTTTTCCTTACAGTATCTGAAATCTAAGATATGTTTTTTAAATATGAGGTAAAGTGTGTCGCCAATGTAACCGGTTAGAACTCAAAGTTGCGATGAGGTCTTAAAATGTATGGAAAGGGTCTTAAAAAAGGTCTTAAAAGGTATTAAATTTGACTTCAGGATTCCTGCATATACCCTGCAGATGCGTCTTAATATCCTAAATGTTGGCTGGCTTTACACCCACGGCCCTATCAGAAACGTCGCTATCAGAAACTATGCGCGACTTGTTTTGTATGTTCAAAAATCGTATAATTGGAGACTGTGGTACTGACCGTTGAGCGGCCCAGACCAAGCAAGGAGGCAGAGGCAGAACGTCCAAAAATATAACCCGACGTGGGCATTTATTAAAATAATGTGCACAAAGTTCACAGCCTATATCCTGCTGTTCTCCGTGAACACATCCTGCAGCCACAAAGATCTCACACACACTACCAGCCTTCCAAGAAACAGCACCTAAATACACACACTAACAAGACACAGGTGAGGGGGGAGGAGACAACACAGGGCACCAGGTGAACACAATTGGGTAATCAGTAGGAGGGAACACAGAGACGACCGGAAGCAATAGACAAGATGGGGGTCAACACTTATACCATTAAATAAATACTACATCAATAAATGATGTAAACATGGTCACGAGAGCTCTAGTAACGGCGTCTCGTCGTTACAGAGACCTTTAACACAGATCGTAGACTGAAAGCAAAACCTCCTATAATGTGTGTTCTTCTTCTGTAGGCTTTCCTGGGCCCAGAAAACCCCGAGGAGCCATACCTGGACGGCATTAACTATAACTGTGTGGCCCCTGGAAAGAGGTTCAGGCCCATGGACAATCTGTCTGGAGGAGAGAAGACTGTCGCTGCCCTGGCTCTGCTCTTTGCTATTCACAGGTACAACTGGACAAAATACAGACATCTAATACATGTATTAACATTGCCTGGCACCTCATGATGACATCACCACTGTCGGTAACATCTCTTCCTCTCGTCCCTAGCTACAAACCCGCGCCCTTCTTTGTCCTGGATGAGATTGACGCTGCTCTGGATAACACTAACATTGGCAAGGTGGGTTCACACAGGATTCAGTGCCTTTTATGTCAAAGGTGTTTTTTTATTAATGGTGCTCATCACATTAAATGCAAACTACACCTGATAATTGTGTTATTATGTCCCTTCAAGGTGGCCAATTATATTAAAGACCAGTCGGTGCACACGCAGGCCATCGTCATTTCTCTGAAAGAGGAGTTCTACACCAAGGCCGACTCACTCATCGGTGTTTATCCAGAGGTGTGTTTCCCTAATATTCTATTTCAAAATATTAGAAAGAAAACAAATGTTTTACAAAGGTATTTACAACGATTGCTTGTTTTGACAGATGATTGTGCATGCGGGTCAATTCAACAAGAACTCTTATTATATTTATTTTTTGGTAATCTATTGGTCAATTTTGCAATTTTCTGGGTCCAAGTGAAGTTAATTGATTATATAATATATTTTCTGTAAATGAAGGTTTAAATACAGCTGGGAAATAATAAATGTATTTATAACGATGTTAGTAACTATATGTAATTGTCCCCACTGGTTTTCCACCATTCTATGAACCAGTATGACACAGACACAGGGTTTGAAAATATTAAGCATTAAATACTACAGGAAACACATATTATAGATTTGAAATAATTCATCATTATAAGCCATATTTGGAGCATCTAGTTTCAAACGTCCCACAGATAACGTCCTAAGCTGAAAATTGGAAATGTGTGTTACATAAGATTAGAAATATGAACTGCTTCTCTTTCTGTTCACCTTACAGCAAGGAGATTGTGTCATCAGCAAAGTGCTGACCTTTGACCTCTCCGTGTATCCTGACGCCAACCCCAATCCCAATGAATAGGATGAGCATCCCCATTTTGGCAAGTTGGACGTTTGCTGCTCACCGGCTGGTCAACATCTCTGTAGACGGCTCATGTATTCATTAGGTCCCACATGTTATTTCCCTTTTTATATGTCGATGTATTTTCTTTGGATATTTTAGAGTAGCGAGGTAGTGAGTATTGCTTGGTTGTTTTGGGGGGTTGTTCTTTATAGACAGCAAAAACCAGGATGTATGTACATTTATAAAAGCCTGCCCCTTTCTCAAGTTGGCCATACAAGAGTGATTATAATAATCCATACAAAAATAATTATAATCAAGTTAAAACAAGAGGGAATAAACATTTTTCAACAGAACGTAGAACCTCATAAAATACATCACATTTACCTGAAACAAGTTTTTGTTCTCAGCTTTTATACTGTTTATTGCCCTCTTTTCAACGGTGTGCTTTAAAGCCTGTCATCTGTTGTGTGTACGAAAAGACGTATCTGCATTTTCATCTGCTACCCTTTTTAAACAACATAATCTTAATCAGGAATCTGTTGTTGCAGTATGGTGGAAACATTCCCGTGTGTGATAGCAGAAGAAAACCCTTAGCGAGCTGCAAATAGCAATGCTATAAAGAAACCATGGAGCTTTGTCAAAATGATCAGAACACTTTGTCTGATATTCTGAATCGGAAAAAGTCAACAATGATGCTATTTGGTCAAGTCTGTTTTATTGATTGCTTTGCTTCAATAAATAACATTTTGAAATATTTAATCTCATTTGATTTGGTTGTTCCTTACTTTGTAATGCAAGCATACAATCTGCTTTTGACTGCTTGGAGGTGTTTTTGTTCTCCCTTTAATTGAACATATAATGCAGAATGCCCCTTGCTGCATTACTTTCCGTTCCATAAGTAGGAGTCTGTGCTTTGCCAGGTAAGACTATTTTTAAAGGGTCTCAGTTTTCACACTGTAACTTCTGCTGGGGGCGATTTCCAAAGCATGCGTTTATCTCCTCGCCAAGTTTCCCTTCTATCATTAATTAGATTTGTATTTACAGCAGACAACTCACCTGTGTTGTGGATGTGCGTTCTTATCCGTTAACTGCTTGTTGTAACCATAGACTGTATATATAAAGGTGTTAACATGTCCATCTATGGTTTGATTCAGAACAAAACAACTAACACAAGCAAATGTTTTTGATCATTTATTTGTTTTGCAATGGTGAAAACACCAGTGTACCGTCAATACATGGCATATATCCAGAAAAGGAGAGTCGAGGTTGTGCTATAATGTTGAGTCAAAGCAAAGTGTGTGCATGGCAGCAAAACACAGGCTGATCAGAGGATAAAAAGTCCTCTGTGGCCGGTTACTGTTCGCATCGAGGCACAAAACATGACACAAGTGCACTTAAATGATGCCCATGTTATCAGTGATATAAATACAATGTGTTATAAGCCTCTGAGCTGTAAAGCTAAATCCACCATACTCCAGGTATGCTGAAGATACATTATCTGTACGGGTCAAACTTCAGTAGGTGTCCCTAAGTCAGAGGTTTGACATGTACATGAAAAACACTTACAAACGGCAGCAGTAGAGTGACTTAAAGTGACACTGCTTCACCACAACATGGATTTAGATGAAACAAATACCCTATTACAGATACTTATTTTGGAGATTAAATGTACCCCATATGTTCAACATTAAAAAATGTGTTTCCTCTATAAAATCTGCTGTTGCCAACTGCACAATAGAACAGTGGTGAGCAGGAGAAAACGTGGTAAACCTCAGTTATTTAAGATTAAAATAGAGCAGGCCTAACTGAGCAGAGGACGCTGCTTTACCAACAAATACAAAAAATGCTTAACTTGCATTTGCATAGTAGCACCAGAGCCTTTTTAAGAGTGTGAACTGAATGCAAGATGAACATCTCTGGACCTGGGCGCTCCGAAACTTCCCTTCTGTCCTCACTGAACTGCAGCACACTAAAGGTGGCTGCCTGTCTTTATTCAGCAGGTTGTATTAGTCTTTAGTGAGGCTCTCAGCTCACTCACATAGTTGTCCCATAAGTCATATGGAATGGATAACCTCCACAAACGCCACAAAGAAAGAAGTGCGTCAATCTGTCCACTCTGAGATGAGATAGTCTTTTTATTACTTTCAATAAATCTGAAAATGAAGATGTTTCAGCATCAGATGTATTGTTTGTCCCTGGTTGAGTATCAACCACACTTGATAATAAGTTCAACCTGAGCCAATTTGCCTTTAGGCCTTAAGCTAGGCTAGTAGATACAGACTGTCACAGGGGCAACAAGCTTAGTAAAGCTAGGAGAGGTGGAGCCACCTGCAAGTGTTAAAATCCAAAGTTAACCACATTAACTCGAGAGCCATCCTCTAAACCTCGGAGTCGGCCTCCTTTACGGAGGGAATCTGGGGGATGGGACGTCTCTTCCTCCTCACCGCCGGATCGGGCTTTCTGGCTCCCTGAGCTGCCACGGGGGGGACTGGGATGGGACGTCTCTTTTTGTCAGAGGCGACGCTGCCGGCGCGCTCGCTGAGGATGCCCAGAGCCACGCTCTCCATGTCATTGACAGATGTGTGCATAGCATCCGCCATCTCCTGCCTAGCAACGGAGGCGAAGCTGGGGTCTTTGGCCAGGGAGGACAGACCGCCCTGTGCTAGAGCCTGGAAGAGGAAACAAGCACATTTTTAAGCTTGCTTAAAAATGGACAACTTTTCGCACCATTATTGTTGTTACTGGTAATACCTGTACCAACAATCAACCAAAAACCCACAGGGGAGTTGTTAATATTAGGAACCACCTTGATTCTGACATTTCTGATTTTAAAAGTGAATGAAAAGTGATATTTCATTGGGCCCTGCGGGTGAAAGCATGCCGAGTCAGTTCGAACATCCTGCATGAGGCACAGTGAGTCTCTTTCACAAAGACACCTCGGGGGGGGAAATGCAATTCAAATTTGCTTTACAGCTCAGCTTTGATTAATAGTGTTTAACAAATAATTTACTACAATGACTACCCATTGTTACCATAGAAATGAGAATGTGTTTCCAAATAAGTTAAAACTTAAATGTTGCTTTGTTAAGTTTATTATGACCTATTTATCACAGATCTAACAGCAAATCAGAACATTTCCTGCTAAAAGAAAAAGAGATGGGCAGTCAGAGATCCTTCCCTTATTTTATTATGTATTTATATTTTATTAATTTTGTATTAATAATGGAGAAAAAGAGGAAAGTAAGAAAGAATATGCCTAGGGGCCTCCCCAGCGAACATCTCCCTCAAATAAATGATAAACCTAGAAAAGAGCACTTGCTGAGTCATCCTCAAAGCTCACGTATCGATGACTCATCCTTTCTCACTTACCTCCTGGACCAGCTGGTCTGCAGCCGTCTGGGAGCTCAGACTCTGACTGTCACCATACTCAGGGTCATAGGGGAACTGAAAAGAAAGATATGATTCTATACTTAATATCTAAATAAAATGTTATTCAGTGGTTGAATCAGTCTCCAATAAAATAGTACCTGTGTTTTGTCTGTTTTCACAAAGTAGTTCCAGGAGCGCAGGTTTCCTGAATAAAGGAAAAATAAATTGGATAATTATAAAAACAAAAATGTAATTCCTATTTTTGTCTGCATGATTTCTACCTCTTTGGTACCGGATTTTATGTGAACAGTAGTATACAATACACCCTACACAGTATGTTGTTTGACCTGTAATCAGATCATATGTTTTTTTAAATTTCCCACATACTTAAAGAAAAAGGTTTTCATGAGGCCTTGTCAATAAGGGAAATGTTCTTACTAGCCCTTCATAGGATTATTGACTTGTTGTCTGCGTTGGTCTCAAATCATCTTTGTGTTTTGTATTTGTACTATCTTGTTAGCAGCTTCTAGGGGAGAGACCGATTGATTCTTATCCAAATACTTTTTTACGTACCAGGCTCTGCCTCACTGTGATTGTAAAAGTCTTCGGGACTGCCTTCTCTGTCAAATGAAAACCTGGAAGACAACATGAAGGCTCAGACATATTCACGCTGAGCAGATGTCATCTGGTCTCCGCGATAGTTTGGAGTGTGTACTTTGTACTCACTCTGCGAAGGCGTTGTTGTTAGTGTTGCTTTTTGGGAAAAATTCAGTAGTGGGCTCCAAGGCAGCAGAGTTTGGTGGAGACTCCACCTGGCTCTCGGAGAACTGGAGGGGCCGCTGGTTGGTCATAGGCTGGGCCTGAGTGCTGACCGGCTCAGAGGAGAAGGAGTCCACCCGGTTACCAAACAGACCGTGAGAACGCTTGAAAGACAGAGCAACACGAGACACAAATTATCCAATTGACAGTCACTTCGTTTACACAGTATTTTACATCTGTGGCGGACAGTGTTTGTTACCTGGTAGATTCCGTCCTCTGTAGCCTCCCCCATGGCTCTGTCCAGCTCTTCCTCGTTCTGCAGGTCTCCTGAAATGGCCCGGTGCATCTCTGGAGCGACCTCATCGTCAATGCTCCTCAGGCCCGCCTAAAATAACATGGAGGATGTGAAACATGAAAGGGCAAGAGGCTCACAGCAGGGTGTTAAAGGTCCCATGAGATGGCCATTTCTACTGATCAGAATTCTATTGTTGAGGTCTACTAGAATATATTTACATTGTTCAATGTTCCAAACTCACATTGGTTTCTCATACAGCATCTCTGTATAGTATGTGTATTCACTCTCTGTCCTAAACGGCTTGTTGGAGCTCCTGCCCCCCCCATCCCTATGAGCCCACTGTGCTCTGATTCGTCAGCTCGCACACTCTGTTCTGATGAGTCCTCCACTGTTACAGCGGGACATCAGTGATTATGTGTTACAATGGCGTTAGCAACCAGAAAATGACACCAGTAATGACAAACAGATGAGAATAATGCATGGGGTCTGGGTGCCGTGTTGGTGGGACGTTGCAGGGCTCGCTGCTCCGCCCTTTGAGGCTCGAGGAGCGGACAGTGTGAGCTGTATTACTGGTGTCGTTTCCTGGTTGCTGCGTGGGGTCTGCGAGACACCGCGGAACTCAGCCTGAGCACACACATACACTCACAGCCAGGCTGTTCACCACACAGTTCGCCACACACTCACAGCCTGAGAAAAGATAAGGTTGACTGAGTGTGTGTACTGGCGAAACTCTGCGGAGTAGCGCTGCTGAGAAAAGACAAGGGTGAGTGTGTGTGTGTGAGGAGCTCCACGGATTGGTCCATTTGGACCTGGGTATGGTCACGTCACTATACTCAGCAAGAAGAAAATGGAAAAAGAGAAATCTCCAACGAGGCGTTCTGGGGCATCATAGACAGGTCTTTTCTGCGTTACAGTTTTACTCGCTACAGGGTGTACTTTGAGGGTTTGTGACTTTGCAGACCGTTTACATGCATAAAAAGCTACATAACGACGGGTAATAAACGGAAAAGAAAAGGAAAGGAAATTATACTATGATATTATGAGTTCTTTTTTGACTGATCTTCATAATTTTCTAAAATGTACAACATTGGCCTACTAAACAATTTTGTTTTCGATATACATGATTTTCTTTTACATTTCAAATATTTACAACATAGTAAACTTTGCAGTTTTTTCTCATATTTTCGACATACTATACTATACTTTGCATATTTTTGAAATACTATACTATACTATTTCGTTTTTGCAAATTATTTTGATTTATTACATGGCTTAGTTGAATACTCGATTCTGATTGGTCAATTCAGAACACGTTGTTAATCCAGAACAGACAGAC